CCCAAATCTCCTAAATTGATTGAAAACAAATGCCATGTTTTAGTAAAGTAGAATTAAAAATCAATGGATCATACTTTTTATCCTGAAATATTATTGTGTTTATCACAGTCTCTCATTTCAGTGTGGGCTGATTCAGTATGCACTTGCAACCATTTGAAGTGACTGAAGTGTTTTGCGAGGTGGTTACTTCAGAAAAATTGGCATTTCAGAAAGATGCATTTTTTCCTCAATCTCTGTTGATGTTTGAAGTTTTCAATGTGTTGCTGTGATCAGAGAAAAACATTTCTTGTGAAATAGTTTTTTCCAAGAGCACAGTGATTTGAGACCGGCAGGCTGTTGAATCAGATCATCTTTTCTAGAAGTTTTCACAGAATGTGCTTCAGGCTGAGACCTGGGGCTTGGAAGATTTTTCTTCAGTTCAGAGTATGTAAATGTAAAATTAACCTAGTTTTAAAATAAGCTTCAAAGTCAATAAAAAGGGAGTATTTTAAAAAATATGTTTAGACAGCAAAGTTTCTATTCCACATTACTCGTCAGTGACCCTGTCCATGGTTCCTATATTCTGGTGGCAGGTATTGCATATGGTTACATGTAAAGTAAATGCTACAACAGATGGCTTTAAATTTTTTCAGTGAATTGGTGTATTATCTACTTTCTGCATGTAGAATTGTAGCTAAATATTTACCTAAAATGCTAAAGGTTAGACTCCAAAAGAAGTTGTGCAATAGGAGTTCTAGTGTCTGTCAGTCACTTCCTGTGTGCTTGGAACTGTGCTCAGTGATCATCACGTTCTTACACCATCCTTGTCCATGCTGCTGTTACTGCCTTTGTTGTGTACTGTGGAAAGGGAGGATTAAAGAGGTGAAGCTGTTTGGTGGTTTGGGTCTTACGTGACAGAGCCAGGACGAGAACCAGCCTTTTGACGCACGGCCCACTGCCTTGACCATCATGGTCTTTTGAAAAAGTGCAGGATTCTCTGACTCACCAGGTTCCTTTTTATTCCATACTTAGGTAGAACTTAAAGGTGAAAGCAAATAATTGTAGAAGATTCTCATGTAACCACAACTTTATACATTTTCCAGATGCAGCAAGCAGTAGGTGCTACTTACATTCCCACTCAAAGACCCTAAGAAGTTCTAGCAAAAAACCATTATGTAGATGCAACAGCTCCTTGCTTATCTGATTGGTGCCTCTGTATAAATACAGTATGTACATATTATAAAAAACAAAACGAAACAGGACAATCCCAGTTGGGTCAGACATGCCATCTAAGGAAGTCAATTGGTATTTGGAGACATGGAAAACAAAGCCTTAGAAGTCAGCTTTTTACCTTGGGTTCTAATCTAACAAGCCATTTAATTTTTGTCCAACTTTGTATATGAGGAGATTCAATTAGAATCTTGTGGATTTAACTCTTTTGGAGTCAGGACACCTCTTCTTAGGAAAATGCACATGCAAAATTTTGCATTATCGTTCAGGGGCTTCACAGACCCCCTACAGTCTCTAGGTGTTTCTAGACTTTTATTAGAATCCCTGAATAGTTGGTCTTTTGCATTTAATTTCTCTTTATGAATGACAGAATTCCATGACTGTCTCGTATTAAGGACCTCTGTAGATGTGATATTTTGATACACAGATGATGAACTTTTGGTGGATTGGTGCTGTCTGTCTAAAGCACATGTATTGAATACCCTGGGATATATGCAGGATATAGATTATACTGAATTGACTAGAATTTTTAAAGAGGTGGCTCTGGAGCTGGGAAAAGAGCAGGTGGACTTGGAACTGTCAGACTTCTGCTACTAGCTAACTTGGAAACTTTCTTAACCTCTCTAGCCTTAGTTTCCCCTTCTGTGTAAGGAATGAAGAATGTCTGTGTCATGTGAATATGGCACTTTAATGAAATAATGGATGCTGAGTGCTGTAGGTAAATCAACTAATAGATGGTAATGAGCCTAAGGAATGCTCATCACAGGTTAGTTTGTTGCTTAAGTACTCCTCAGAGTCATGTCCGACAGGCTGCAGGTTCCAAGGAGGCTCAGACCTGGCAAGTCAGAGGAGCTGCAGTGTAGCAGAAGGAAAAGGTCCCTCAGGACTTGGAACCTCTCACATGTGATGGGGACTCCACGGGATCTGGAGAGGCCACCTGAGAAAGGGAGATGAACTTGAAAATCAATATTGCTAAGGGAGAAAGTTGGGCTTAAACTTGGAAAATCAGAGATATTTTTGGGACCTGTACTCTCCAAAGGGCTAGACAAGCAGCAAAAAAAGTCTTGATGAAGGAAACCTCTAATCCATCTAATAAATATAATACCTAGTCAGTGTTAACATATGGTAATATCCGTGTCCATTAATTAAAAATATACCTGGAAGTCTTGATGAAGGAAACCTCTAATCCATCTAATAAATCTAATACCTAGTCAGTGTTAACATATGGTAATATCCGTGTCCATTAATTAAAAATATACCTGGGAAGCATTTAGGAATACTTCCTCATTTGTTCAGTCTTTCTCATTATGTTATAGACAGGCTTAAGAGCTTGCTGCGAGAGGTGTGTATCATTAACTAATCCAGCAGGTTTCTATGGCTATTTGAATTGTCTGGAGACTTTGATCTCTTTACTTCTACTTTCATCTCTGGAAAGGCTCTTGCCTAAAGTCTTAGGTCTGGAAGAACTAAGTCTATTGTCTGTTTTTCTCTTTTTCGAGTTTAATTCTAGTTTTCTCTTTTCTAATTGTTGTAATCTACACATATTTTCAGTCATGTATGAAACTCCAGTCTTCTTAATGTGTGATAAATTATTAATCTATTGTGTTCTGTTTTTATTTTTAGATAGAAGAATTTCGAAGACTGAGGACACATGTTAAGGGGGCAGAACTTGTGGAAGGCTGTGATGGGATTTTGGGAGACAATTTTCGACCCACTCAGCCACTTAGTGACAGAGTCATTAGAGCTGCATTTCAGTAGCCAAAGAGAACAGGAACAAGTCGATCTTCATCAGGGTACGTGCAGATCAAGTTAGGAAGAGCAGGCGCGCAGCTACGTGAAGCTGGTGTGCCAAAGTTACTCTTATCCCGATACTTTAGCAATAAAGCAAGTACACTTCATTTTGATAAAATTTATGTCACGTTTTTCAAGCTCCATTAATTACAGGTCAGGTGGCTATTTAAATTTCATGCAATGTTGACAAGAATCTATGATTCTGATATTTTCCCACTAGAGCAACATTTAATTCCAAGTTATGCTTTAATACTGGCTTTCATAAGAAAGATACCTTGTGGCTGAGAAGCGGTGATATGCAAGGGTCTCGTTAGTAACCCAGGAGCACAGAGGAAGGAGCTGAGGAGCGTGTGAGCCTCCTTGTTGATGCTGCTTGTCTAGCAGAGTTGATCTTGCTCATCAGAGCAGGTGAGGGCACACTTGACATGAATTGAAATACTTGTCCTATGGAAGTGCTTTTTATTTGATAGATCAAGAAGCACTTATTAAATTATCTGAATATAGTACATTACTTTATTAATTGAAACACAGTCTCTATATTTTAATATATTGAATTCAATATATATGTATTCCTTACCCTTAAGTAGCTAACAAAATAAGACATCACAAACGAGGAGAAGATAAAATATATAAAAATGACTATATAATGGATTATTTCTTTACCTTGTAAATTGCCTAAAAGTGTATAGGTCAGTGTCCATTGCTGGCAAACCAGTGCTTCCCATGAGGGGAAAGCTTCTGTTGGAATGTTTGCTAGGCAAGCGGGACAGGGCTTTGGCTGTTTGTTTGATGGACTGTTGTGAGTATGTACACACATATCCTGTGAGTGGCGGTGTAGATTGGGAATCCCAGATGAATAGAAATCTCTGGCCTTCAGGAGGCCATAGTCTCATGAGCTACACAATCGACATAGGAATTTTAAAGGGTGGTTATTTTGTCCACATGTTTCTGAATCCATTTTTCTAGCCTCTGTACTGTCACTGTATGTTATGGGCCCAGTATTCCAGCCAGGCTGCTGTTTTCTTTGCTAACGTGCTCTGCTCACCCAGCACTTCCCATCCTTTCTGCTTGTGCAAATCCCAGCGACTCTAAGGGCCCCGCTTAAGTACCCCTTCTCCCTTAAATTGTACCTCTTGTCTCACATCCTTTCTTTCATCTAGCTATTTTTGTATTTCTTACTTTTCTATCATATTTCAAGCTTCTTAAAGGTTGAAATGTGTTTATTTTACTTTGAATCTATCATAACACATAACACTTGTGTCTCAAATGACTTCAGGCAAATGAGAGGTTCCTTACAACTGTACCTGTTGTTTGAAGGTACTTCAAAAAATTAATGGAAAGATTTGTATTATCTTTCAATTCTATTTTTCCACAAACTTTTTGAAGTAGCCTCATATGACAGCCAGCTTCATTACAGGCAGTCATTCATTCTCAGTTTCTAAGTTAGCCAGCACAGTTCATCTCCCAGCCCCCTTCTAATTTTGGAGATGAGGGTCAGGCCAACTCAGCTTTTGTAGAAACGAGGAGAAACTTTCAGTAATTCATGTGGTAACAAGGGAGAAAATCCAAGAGTGCTTTAAACTAAACCTTATGGTGGGTGAATTAAAGAATTAAACTAAAGAATTAAAGAACTGAAATGATACTTAATCAGAAATCATTATTGAGCATCTACCATGTGATTGGTTCTGGGTGTACAGAGGTGAGAAGAACAGGCGTGGTTTCTGCCCTCATAGAGCTTAGGGTCTAAGGTGGGGAGTATGACAATGGAAAAATAAACACTCAAAAATATATAATTACAAATTGTAATGCATTCCATGAATGAGAAGAACAGAGATCTGTTGGGGAGGAGACTTCAGTTAGAGGGAATATCTTTGGCAAAGGCCCTGAGGAGGTGCTGCCTGTGGAGGAGGTGAGAGTTTGATGCTGTGAGGCACCTGAACGCAGGCCTGTGCATCTGGAGAAGAGCAACGGAAAGGCCCAGGTCTTAGAGGCATCTTTATTTTGTAGTCGATGCATTGTGAACCTATATGGACTTTTACTTGGGAGGGACCTGATCCCACATGTGTCTTTAATAGCTGGCTCTGGTTGGAGAATGAATGCATTGGATTATGATGGGTCAGGGCAGTAGTCGAAAGATATTTAAGAGTCTGCTGGGTAGCCCGGGTGATAGGCACTGAGGCTCAGACACTAGAATAGGAGCAGTGGAGATGGAGAGAAGTTAGTGTGTGTGAAATAGACTCATTAGATACAGGTGATATCTAGTGACGAATTGGGTGAGGGTAGAGGGGGATGGAAATGTAAAAGATAACCTCTGTAGTTTGGGGCTTTAGAAACTGTGGATAGAGTGCCTTTCAGTGCCAGTGGGAAAGCTGGGGGAAGGCCTTGTTTGGGATGGAAAGATATAGAGTTGAGTTGGAGCTCATTGAGTGAGAGATGCCCATCAATCACAATACTGGACGCGTGAAGGTCATTGGAATTTCAATGGTGCAGATCAGAAAAGAGGTCTGGGCTGAAATATGTGAGTATTTGGCATAGAGATTATGTATGTATATGTGTATATAATGTTCTAATAGATCTAATGGGATTTACGTCATTAAGTGTCCGTAAAATCTTATGTGAAGCTTTACAGATGAGTTAACCAAGACAGAGAAGTTAGGACATTCCCCAAAGTAATGCAGTTATTGAACAGTGGAGCTGGAAATCAGATCCAGGCAGCTTGACTGGCAGAGCCCTTTTTCTTAACCACTCTATGGGCAGAGGTCAAAGAGGGCCCCACACTGGCAGTCATGGTGGCACAGTGGTGATGCACCTTGCTGCAGACCAGGGGTGACTACAAGGGAAGGAGCTGGAGGTGCTGGGTCACGGCCACTCTTGATAAGCTGGGGGGGAGGGGTGGCAGGGGGCAGAAGGCTGCAGCAGTAGAGAGGGAAGGCCAATGAGGGAGACCTTTTTTTTAAAAAAAATATTTTTTAACAAAAGGAGTACTAGAACTTGTCTATATGCTGGGGGAATGAGCATGTGGATGGGGAGGTTGAAGGTGAAGCTGCTGCTTCTTGGAGGGGCTAATCCTAGGAGGGAAATCTCTGGAAAGTAGAAAGGGATGAAATCCAGAGCACACATGGTGTCTGACTCTTGTTAAGGGTACAGACACATTCTGTGCTAAATAGGAAGGAAGAAGGAGGTGGTGGTTTATAGATGTGGTGTGTCCATGATTTGCTGTTATTATTTAATGCAGGATGGGGTGGGAGCTAGGAGGGGTGAGAGCAGCAGGAGGAGGGGAGAGGGAGGGAATGGTGGGCTCGCAGGAGAGCCCGAGAAGAGGGGCAGCATGAGGTGCGACGAGGGTTGGTGGACGCAAATTTATGACTTTCTCTAGTCTGGGTTTAGTACACTCTCTGTGAGTATCAGTAACTATAAATGACACTGTTAATGAAATAAGATTATTGCCTTGAATGTTTGATCTGTATCTGGTCGTAGATCAGAGTTGCCTTTTCTCTAAATATCTGAATAACCATCGCTGTTTTGCTTCTTCCTTGCATGTGCATGCACGCACACACACACAGACTGAAACGCTGGTCATGGACTGTGTATATTTCAGTTACCTCATGTTCATTGTATGAGGGAAGAATAATGTGAAATTTTTCAAAGTTTTAAATTAATTACCATTTAGGTATTTTATAAAGGAGGATGGATTTGTGTTCTTATCTTGGCTGATATTACTTAAAGGGGATAATTTTTTCCCAAAATTCCTAAGAATGGTGCAGGAATTCTTTCTAAGGTGACTCTAATTCTGATTTCATCCTTTTATGAATATATTTTAGATCCTTTTATCTTGAAATGTGTAATACAAATCTAGTCATAGTTCTACATGAAAATTATATTGGAAAATCAGACTTATGGATGTCTGCTTTTTATTTGATATTTAATAATGCCCTAAGGCAGATAATTCAAACTTTTATTAAAGTGAAATGATTTGACAGTCAGACTTTGAATTTAATGCATAATGTTTCATTTAAGCTCTTGGAACTAAAAAGGAAAAAAAAAATTTCCCTTGTAGGTAGTCGTTCTCTAAAAAGTGTTCCAAATAATTCAGATTTATTTTAGTTACATTTTACTGAAATAACTTTAGTTTTTGGACTTAAAATGACATTTTTTTTGCATGGCATGTCTTGTCAGCTGGAGGGCTTTGATAACCAAGACTTATTATTCTCATGAATAATCTGTGACTTTTCATATTACCGTTTAAGAACTATGATTTTATACTTGTTTAAAGAATTAGCATGTAACTCACCCAGGTGCTGGAAATTCTTTAGTTCAGCAGTGCTAGTTCAGATTTCTGGGAGCCAGTTGATATAAAATGATTCTTTACCCATTGAATTTTCTATGAGATGCAGGAGAAACAAATTGTAGTTTAAAAAACAATAAGACTAAGCTTAAGGTCCAGTTTACTTATTGCTCCTGGTATCATAATATGGGTACTAATATTCTGACAAAATGATTATTTGCCCGTTTATTTCATTAAGTATTGGTCCATTTTCAAAAGGCTATTCTGACTGTTTCAAGGCTACCTCACCCGTGACTCAAATATTGTTAAACTGCACACATTTACAGTAACTATAATGAATTATAATTGTTTATTTTTGGTAAAAACCATGCCCACAAAGCTCTAAATAGTTTCCTTTTTTGACCCCTTATAGGAGGGAAAATATGTATGCCCCAAATATATTAGGGAGAGGAACAGAAAAAAGGAAGAAGGAAAAAGGGTAATTAACAAGCATCTCTGGGTAGCCCCTTTGTCAAACTTGCCCTCACTTTTCTTTCTGGGTCTTCAGAGTTGTCCTTGACAGTTTTGAACTGTTCCCTACCTGTACTTTTGCAATTAATCATATTGTTTTCTTAGCTTTAATAAAGCTATAGCTAGCATCAACTTCCTATCTGCTTTTTTAGTAACCTCAAAGAGGTATAGGCTAGAAAAGGATAAGGCATTGGAGATAAGGGGGAG